ACTCTACATGAAGCACCTTTTTTTAGAGAGCACAACTTTATACTTGCTTCATTGTTGCTTCTGTTGCAGCATTGCCCTTTCTGAAGAACACAGCTATTCTTTTGTATCCCTTTGCACTCCTCATCATGCTCTATTTGATCTCATTAGCCTGTGGATGGAACTTCACCAAGATGCTTTGCACCTTTTATAAGTACAGAGTGAAATAAAACCAGGACTTCATATATCTAATGTTCATTTTGTTTTTACCTTAGCTGTTTTGACGGTAAAGAAAAAAAAAATTAAGAACCTTTTGTAAATGGTTGTAAATTTCTCTTTATTGTAGATAATTGTGTAAAAAAGTTTGAAGTGTCCTTTTTTTTATTAAAATATTTACAACAGTAAACATGTTAGCAACTTTGTTCAAATACTTTCGCAGTACATTCCTAAAAACAAGTTACTTGTACATCTCTGTAGCTTAAATTGAACTGCAACAAGTCTATGTAGCATAACTCTTACTGCAGATATTTTGCACATACTGGCATAAGCTCTACAGGAGGGGTTTAAGTGACACCAAAGAGCAGTTTTATTTCAGAGGAATATTGGAACACCTTTGCCTTGGGACTGTGTCGAAGTATGGACCTTACTAGTGTTGCAATGGTAAAGCAACAACTGTCTCTAGGTACAGCTCTGTCCTCTCCTTGTCTGCATGAACTCGAGGACAGACTGATTTCAGTGACTGCTTCAAATATACATGGACAACTGGCACACAGAAGAAACAGTGATGAAAGGCACAATTAACATGACCCATATCAGGTTTCCAAATATAGCAGCAAGTTTTCAAACCCAATCTCTAGCAGTCAGTGGGTATTCCTACAGCCACCACTCCGAGGGGCAGGGCAATGAGCATGGAAGGTTTGGCTACAAGGTGGGCTCGTGGCAATGCCTGCAGCTGTGCAGTCCACAAGGCAGGAGTAAAACTGACTGTCACAAACAATACCTTCTGGAAAGTGAAGATGACAGCTTTCCAGTGCAGTGTACTGCATGGAACGTGAGCACTAGGATTCAGTTCCCAAAACAACACGAAAACTGCTTACAGTAAGACTTACTAGGTCAATACTAGAATTGGAGCTCTAAGGAAAAACTATATTTTTATCTTAAAATACCAAATATGCTGGCAGTGCATCTTACAGTACTGTGTGTTTCAGCCATTGTTAAGGCTTGAAGAGAATCAGGTTTCCCTCTCAGCACATGCTGAGCAACGTTCCCCTTTCAACAAGGAAACACTGAACTGCTGATCCACAAAAGGTGAAGGATTCCAGGCAGGACTTGCTCCCCTTCCCTGGCTAACAGCACGAGCTCCTGTCCTGCAGGCAGCTGCACAGCCTTGCCCAACAGGAATCCCAGCACCAGTGATCACCCACTTCAGTTCAACAGTAAAAATACTTCATATTTAGTGCCCTGTGGTGTGATACCACTGATGGACTCGGGGCCTGGGTACCTTCCCTTTAGAGAAAGCAAAGTTTGTCTCCTTGACAGAAGGCTTCATCATTCTCAAAATTAAGCTACTTTAACTTCCAGCAGCTCACTGTTTACAGC